GGGGGGGGGGGGGGTGATGTCGTTCCTCTTCCGAAATGATTCAGTAGTGGCAGTGGTTGGTCGTTGACACCACCAATCGTTCCAGGGGGGCCGACAGAGGGCAAGGGAGAAGGGGAGAGGGAAGGTTCTCGACTTGTTGCTCTTTTCCTCCCTCCTTGGGATTCCTTCATTTGTGGAGTCAGGTAACTTGTTGTCTTCCAAGGTTCGAAGGACTAAAAAACAGGGCAGCAGCAGTGGATCTTTCCGAGAGAGACGCTCTTGCAATCGATAGAGTAGCACGGTGGACAATATTGCTCACGGCCGCGCCGGACCGGTGAAGGGCTTGCGCAGCAACAACGGTCAGGTGTGGACAACCGAGAGAGAAATAAAAAACGCCGAGGTTGTGCCCATTTATATCGCAGCAAACAACCAGCATCCACGCTGTCCTGTATTTACACGCAAATAAGTCCACACAAAAGTATGCACGCGCGGCAAAGAAACTAAAACGCAGCCAACCGTGGCGAAGAGCAAGTTATTCCGCCCCAACAGCAAACATGCGGCGAAAAAAAAAACGCTACACCGGACATATATCTCAAGATTCCCTGTCTACAGGAGCGGGTCTGATGTGGGGATATAGAAGGGTATGGAAACGGTCAGGGCTACTTTGGCAGATTGGATTTCTTTTGTAGTCTGTCTCAACGAGTTGAAATGGGCCGCCAATGTCCCATCACCAAAGCGAAAACTAGCTCACCTTCTGGTCTACTTTGTACGCATCCACGGCACAATCGGAATCATCGAATCTTCTCGCAACTCGAAGTAGAGCGCAAGAGGTTAGTTCCGGAAGGACAGAACCCGCCGCACATTACATGTACAGTAGAGTGTGGTACAGCAACAAGATAACAAGACAGGAAGGCCTCTTGCATGTGTGGTGCAGTGTGGTGCAGTGCAACGCAGTTCGGTGAAGAACCGTACCTGCGTTGTCCTTGTGTCGTGGCACACGTAGTAGGGCCGCCCGTTGGCCGTGGCGCGCTCCTCCCACCCGGACGGCAGCGGCTTCTGCGTATATACGTACAGGCACGCGTTGCGATCCGGTCTCCGACGTGTGAATGCGTGACATTTCATTGTGACGTTTCGTGTTGATGTTTCGTCGCGGTGACGCTGCATCGTGACGTTTCATCGTGATGACGTTTCGTCGTATCGTTTCTAGTGAAGTTTTCGTCGTGACGGTTCGTCGTGGTGACGTTTCATCGTGACTCTTTTCATCGTGATGACGTTTCGTCTTGGTGACGCTTCGTGACGTTTCGTTTTCATGTGCGTATTGTCCAGGCGGTGAAGCAAGGGACACGCGACCGAAAAAGAACAGAGGTGGTTTGACGCGTTAAGCGACAGAAAGCAAGACGATATGATTGGTCGGAATCTGATTCGCGCTGCCAAACCTTCCGCAGCGGCATATGTATATATATATATATATATACCCCGCATACAAGGGCAATACATACCATGAACAGGGCGTCCAAGGCGCCTAGCCCGACTGGGCTGCCTCCACAACCAACAGGGTGCGAAAAATCCAGCAACACGTGTGAGGAAAAAGCTCTCTCTCTTGAAGAGACTCTTTCAGCGAGACTCGACGGCATCTTCGGCTGGAAGCGGGCCTCTTTCTTCGTTGTGGTGCAAAATCGAAAAATTCTGGTCTACCAACAGGGAGAAGAAAAAAATAATTTGACACTCTGTTTGCGGTCCTTGGCAAATACCGTGCGGGCCCGTGTGAAGAAACAGAGACTCATATTTCCACGACAAGTAAGAAGAATGGGTTCTCAGGAACACACCTACCTCAGCCGTGGGCCCTTACAAAAAAAATTACTTTTAACCGTGTAACAATCCTGTGCTCGACAGTGGCGACGAAGAAAAGAAACTGAGCCCCGACCCGATCACCGTACGGTACCACTCTAAGGACGCCGGCCGAAAAACGTTGCCGTTGGTTTGTCTTCTGGCATCGCAACGCTTTACCTGCACCGCCTCAGTCACCCGCGGGTCGTTGTGGTGGGAGCGCTGAGGCACCGGCGACTCCTCCACGGGGCCGGAGGGTAGCATGAACGCGCCGCCGGCCTGGACGGTGGAGAAGGGAGCAAAGCACGAGAGGAACAAACGGGCGTCGAACGCAGAGCACCACGACCGGCGCGTCAGAGCGCGAAAAGAATGATGATGATCATCATCATCATCTATGCTAAGTAGCAAGAAACGTATCCAACGGTTCCCCGCCTGCCTCCAAACATGGGGACCAACAACGATCTCCCCCTCCTCTGATTTTCTTACCCGCACACCCTTTCAGTTGGTTTGCGTTCAAGCTTCGCTTGGCGCCACAAAGGAGGTTCGTTCACAAACCTCGCCCACAACAGCAGTCGTTGGTGTAGTTTCAAGCCTCGCTTGGCCATAGGTGACCGATCAGCGGAAGGCTTTTTTACTGTTTGAGAAGGCATTCACGTTGCGCAGACTTGCACGCCACCACCAACAAGCAGAGAAATCTTGCGGTGCGGTACTCCGCTCTACCAGGTATTTCCCAGGAGTGTGACAATTGAGGTCCTTCCCGCGGGTGCGACCATCAGCGACACCCAGGCACGATTTCAGAGGGACGAGTATCCTATCCATACACCGCGCGAAGAAACGGTTTGCATCGCAGCAGCAGCAATGGGAGGCTGACTCAAAAAAAAAAAAAGAAGGAAACCGAAGAGAACCAAGGGATGGGCCGCGCGAGGTCGGCCCTCAGCACACACATGCATCTCTTACCGACGACCCCTGTCTTGCCAGGCCGAAGCGTCCGTCGATGTCGCCTGCCCCCGCCGGCATCTGGTCGACGCTTGTGGCCTGGACGGTCCGGGATCCGGAACAAGAAGAACATACAGGAGAGAAGAACGTCACAAGCGAACCGGCAGAGGCGGAGAACCGGCACAAGCGAACAGGCGCAGCCGAACCGGCATATGCGAACCCGCAGAGTCGAATCGACGTCACAATCGTACGAACCTTTATCCTTTGTGGTAGTTGAGGGCGACAACAGAGACGCACAGCAGCGCATCCAGGGATTCAATAGAGCAAGTGCGCGTCAGCTCATTCTAAACCGCTCTTGGACTATCCACACGATTGCCAACAAACCGAGCCATGGAAATTGCACCGGGTAGCGAACAGGTGTGCGTTCACGTCTCAATCGAGCAGCATTTTTTTACTCCCTCGCCTACGCTATGTAGGAGCGGCATGGCCCGTAAATGCAAAAAAGTCATACTGGAGTTCACTTCTCCCTCCTATTGTAGTTTGTGGTGCTTAGCGCATGCATGTCGTTCTCTTCGTCGAACATAAAATTTAGCTTTGAGCACCCACCATCCGACCGTTTTCCCGTTGTTTGGCAAGTTTCGAGCCTCTCGCTCTGGTGCAAGACACCTAACGACGATCGCATAAAAATGTCGATTCGTCCATGTTCTCTCATGTGGCGCAATGACATCAACCGGGACCATGACGGAAATCACGGATAGGCCGAGGTTAAGCCGAGGATGAGCCGAGGACACGTCGAGGTTAAGCCAAGGACAACCCAAGGTTAAGCCAAGATTATGCCGAGGTCAAGCCGAGGTTAACTCGAGGACAAGCCGAGGTCAAGCCGAGGATAAGCAGAGGACAAGCAGAGGTTTCGAGGTTAAGTCCAGGACAAGCCCAGGTTAAGCCGAGCAAAAGTCGAGGTGCCGAGGATAAGCCGAGGTTGCTGAGGATAAGCCGAGGACAAGCCGAGATTGCCTTCAATTTTGACCCGAACCTCGTGCACTGGTGCTGATATCGTTCGCGGTGTGTAAATGTATGCCGCATATCGCTCTCGGTGGTTAGGTACAATTGTTTGTTATCCTGCTGCATGCTGCACGGCGTTGGCATGACCCACCTCAACAGTTCGCAGAAGTATTCTGGGACGGCGGAGAGTACCGGATCCACTCGCAGTTCCCAGAAGAGTACTTGTATTCCTAAACGGTACGTGTTTATACTATTATAGAAACATTTGGAGCGCATTGTATGTACTGCAAAAGTTTGGAGCACGAAGGAAGAAAGTAGTGAGGGAGCTGTGTGTCTGTAGGTACAGAGGGTCGTTGCCGGCGCCAAATGCGGCTTGAGCTCATCGTGATGCCTTGAACAAAAAGGCTCGATTTGTGGGTCGCATACCTACGCCGAACATGGGGTGCACCTGGCACGGCGCTGTTTGTGAGATTTTCCAAACGTTCGTCCTTCAATCGCCCGTCGTGCGCTTCTTCTGCGCGAGAATACAAGCTTCTTTCGGAAATGCGGATCAAATAACTCGCTCCGAGAAGGCCTGCTTTAGCGGTGATTGTAGACCACTAGACTGCCGCAGTGCGTTCCTGCTTGTTTGGCAACAAGGACCCCCCCCCCCCCCCCCCCCCCCCCCCCCCCCCCCCCCCCCCCC